CTATTTCATTTTTTTTAATGCCGAATGAAAAATCAATACATTTTTCTGGGTTATACATATTCAGAACAGGCCTGATATTTCCATTATAATGGAAAGTGGGTGTCTGTGCACATCTCACCTGTCAGAGCTGCAGCCGCGCATTTTCCAAGCCACTGCTAAATATTTCAAACCTGATTTGATTGTGGTTCATGACAGCTAATGTTTCTCAGCTCTTGAGCCTGCCGACAGGCAAACGCACTTTATTTCAGCCCCACCCTCCAACATCGCTCCCCACAAAGAGAGAGGAAAGAACAATTTCATTCTTCAGGGACCCAGGCTGGTGTATTATTTAAGAAACGCGATCGCCTGAGAGCTTTGGGCACAGACACCGTGATAGAAGAATTTCCAAATTTCTTTCACATTGAGGCATTAGGGGGCTTTGTCAGGTTCGGGGGAAGGTTTGAATTAATCTACATTATCCTGTTAAGAGTTTGGAACAGAGGGACTAGTCTTCGTCATTGATTGACTCCCCCCTCCTTCAAGTCTGTAAGCGATTTGTAAATACACTCAGAGGACGTGGCACTCGGCCCCAGTTGGATGAATGGTACCATTTTTTTTTAGCAACTGGTGAGTTTTCTTGGGTAACACATTCAGGGAGCGTGCGCAGTGGGGCGAGTGCTGGCTTTCTGATGATGCCACCTCTGATTTTGCTTCTGCCTGGAGCTCCTTCCCAAAATCACTCTCCAGGTTGTTCAAGAAATGCTTGCAAATCTCCATGGGGTCACCAGGTGGCACACCCACGTCCTTTGGGAGCAGAGCATTCACCACCCCTCAGAAATCACCTTCAACTTCAACAGCGTGCCAGGGTTGTTAAGAGAACGCTTCACTTTTGTGGTCAGCAAAACCTTGAGTGAAGGGAAATTTTCTGGATCTGTGGTATCATCACCCCAAAACCTTAGCTCCCTTTTTAGAATATATTTTACCTGCTGAGACTCGAACACCTGAGGGCTCTGCCTTAATGGGGAGACGTGAGTGACGTGAGCAGGTTGGGTTTGGCTTGGGCGCTGTCTGGGAGGAGCAGTTGTAAAAAGGAGGTGGCGATGGAAACAGATTTTTTAAAGGCCTTCAGCCAGTTTTGCATGTAAGTTGAAGGGACACCAGGAAGACCTCACAGTTATTCAAGATTTGTTTCTATTTCCCCAGCCCTTCAGCATAAAAATACATACAAACAGGAGGCCGGGGCTGGTGGGGGGGGGGGGGGGCTAGTTTGAGGGCTACTGTGGGGTGTAGCTATCCAAGCAGCTTCTGGGAGGGGGTCGGGGGGGTTAAAGGAACCTCCTCTGTCTGGAATGCGCTGGGCCTGCTGCCTCCTGCCAAGAGCAGGCCGGGCAGAGGGAGCCGAGATGACCTTCTCACCCCGGGCCTGGCTGAGCCCTCGGCGAGCATTCCTGCTGTGTTCTGGTTGGGTTCTGAATATTATTAAACCCTTTGGGGAAAAGATGCTTTTGTCTTGTCTATTTCAACGTAAAAAGGGCTTGGTGACTGCTGTGTCTGTTGGTGAAGAAACAACTTGTCTTCTGAAGGAAAGACAGGATTTTCCAGATAAAACCAGATTGTCGGTCCATCAGGTCTTTATTTGTTCCCACCATCTGTCAGTAGCTGATATTATAGGAACGGTATTGACTTCTGCCATGACCCTGGCCATTTGCCACGGACTTCATGTGGCGAGAACCCTCCTCTAGGCTTGGCTGTGCCGGGATGGCTATCAGATATGCATTCCTGAAAGGAACAGGCCAGGTAAGCAGCCCTGGGAGCTCCGAGTGTGGCCACAGCTCTCTGTGGCAGAGCCGGTGCCATCACATTCCTGGTTCCCACGTGTCTCCAGAGCAGGGAGACCAGGCCCCTCCCAGGGTGCCTAAGGCCTGGGTCTCAGTGAGTGAGGCTGCCTGAGGCTTTTGAGGCAATAAAACAAACCCTGCCTGTAAAGCATTGTGAGCCCGAGCTGTCCAGACGAATTCAAAGTTTGCATCGCTGTTTTTTAATCTTCCTCTGCCTTTATTGGTATTCAGAGCTCACAGTTTTCTGGTTACTGACAGCCTGGGCTTTCATCCATTTTAAAGAGCTATTTTTCGTCTTGCTGTTGATGATGATGGTATAAAGACAGATGGTGTAACTGCTTATGAATGTCCTATTTTATTCCCCAGGACCAGACAGTTCACTCGTATATTACTTCCACATGCTCAGGTTAGGCATCCCAGACAGTGTCTGCCTCCTGCAGCTAGCTAGCTAGCTGCCCTTCTAGGCCTGGCCATGCAGAGGGCGACACCTGTAGGGCACAGGTGGAACTGCAAGGAGCTCCTGCCTGGCTGCCTGGGACCTGGATTTTTGGCTGGGGCTGAGGACACTGCTCGTTTCTAAAGGCAGATTGCTTGTCCAGGAGTTCCTTAAGCATTTCTTCCACCAAGCGTATAATAGTCTTTTAGTGAATGATGCACAAATGATAATATTAAACCTAAGAACTCGAAAAGAAGACTTGATTTTTAAATCTTAAAAAGGAGGGGGAAGAAAGAGAAGCAAATCAGCACCTGGCCTAGCCTCATTGAGGCTCAGCTGCCTTCACGTTTCTGCTTGGAGTAGGGTGGGGAGGGGAAAAACAAAAGCCCCAGTAGGTTCAGAGAGCAGGGACTCGGAATAGCCAGAGAGCTCCGTGGTTTCCTTGCTCACTGCATCAGTGAGGTGCTTGTTCTTCAGCCTGTCTTTGGATAGATATGGCCACTCTGACACTGCCCAGTTCTCTGGGCCTTTCCCAACATGAGTTCTTAATTCCACTCAGTGGCCCAAGAGAGAGGAGCTGGCCTTGGACACAACCCCTCTATGTGGGCAGATTCCTTCCCTCTTCCGCAAAACAGCACCTTCAAACACGGTTCATACCATGTCAGGGCATTCTCCATTTTGGTGGGGTCAGACTGTCCCCATCTAAGGTGATTGTGTGTGTGTGTGTGTGTGTGTGTGTGTGTGTGTGTCTGGAGAGCAGAGATCATTGAGTCATCTCTTTGCATAATCTAATTAATTAAATGTACCAGTACCTCAGATATTTTGTCTCTGGATGTAAGGGCAAATGAGTATATTTTAAGAGACCTAGCTGCATTGGGTAGACCCAGCTTAGTAATATCAATGGGCTAAATGCTAGCATTACCATTCAAAGATGGATTTTATAATTATAGTTGAACAATTGTATCAAATGCCTAAAAATATGCATTGAACACCCTGCCTGAACATAATTAAGATGGTAAATACATTATACTGTGTAACTTGCTTGTTTTTGCTCTATTGGCGCGCGCGTGTGTGTGTGTGTGTGTGTGTGTGTGTGTTTCTCTACTTAATGAAGTATGGTGAGTATAGTGTTAACATGGCTCTGTATATCTGATTGACTTCAAACTATGGTTGCTTGATTTTTCTCTATTTGAACTAAGTGTAGGTATGGGGAGAAGATGTTAACTTTATGATACAGTGAGGAAAAAAGGAGATATAGAAATTATACTTGGAGTCCTCTTAGTTGATGAAAATCATCAGTATCTTATTTCATCGGAGTTCCCTGTGACTGCCTCATAAATCCCCTATTGGAAGTAATGAAGAAAGAATGTTCCTTGACCCTGAGTTCAGTTTCCAGTCTTTAGACTTCTGTTGTCTCTTCAGGAAGAATTGGGAAAATCTGACTCCAAATAGATACTTCTTCCCTCAAGTGTTTTATAAACTCTCTGAAGTCAATTTACTGTGAACCCCTTTGACTTCCATCCTGAGATAAAATTTGGAAGCTATTTTCTGAAGGGTTAGAGAGTATTACACCTTGACATGTTGAAAAGTGAAGTTGCAGTTGGAGGGATGGACCTAGGGTGACATGGGACAGAGCCCCAAATCCACCATCCTAGATTGGACCTTAAACCAGGTGTCCATGGCTCTGGTCTGGTACCAACCTCAGGTGATGGACATGGCAGCTTACGTGGCTGTACCCAGGCAGTTGTGCTCTTCAATGTGCCTTACATGTCAGTGTTCCCCTGTCATGGTTTGACAGCCTCATTGGTTCACCAGCCCATTCCCAGTGACTATGCTGGATAACAATCCAAAGGGCCAGGACAGTAAGAGGGACATGTCTCCCCCCCTCTCCCTCAGCACCTGGAGTGTCTCATCCTCTTCCCCACACGGGCAGGTGGCATTTTACTTCAGGATTGACCTGCTGTTGGAAATGACTGTTCCTCTACCTTCACTAAAGCACTGTGTGTTGAGCTGGAGAAAATTCCCTTGGTTAGTTTCAAACCAGTGGTGGGTAACGAATGGAGTGACTTCAAAAGGAAAGTGTATGATTCTGTTGCTGTTTTTTTCTCTTCCTTGCCACTGACGGCTGATGTGTCCACAGATGTCATTTTCTAGAACTCTTCACATTGATGAAATCATATGACCGATATTTTCAGAGTATGAATGACTATTTGGTGACTATTTTAAAAATCACACAAACCTCCCACCACAACCTGGCACGTGTGCAGGCACTGTGCAGCCTATGAGGGGCCAATGCCTGAGTCGAGTCGCGTTCAGTGCCAGGACGCACTGGGCTTGGAGCCAGGCAAGAAGCTCCTCTTTTGCACCTTCAAGTGTCACATTTTGCACTTTCAAGTGTAAAAGACTTGCAGGCAACTTCAGGAATTTGGATGGAGTTACTAGTATTTCTTCAACAGGATTGGCTTTTCAATCAGAAACACTAAAATGAGGCACTCGGAACCCATCTGGGAAAACCTCCCATCCACATGTCCCGGGCGAGTCCCACTCTCGTGCCGGGGAGCGGGAAGGACAGTCCCACTGCTGCCCAGGTCTCGGCATAGCCAGTGCAGCCGTCCTCGGCCCACGGGGAGGAGAGGAGGCACGGCCATCGGGTCTGTGTCTTGTGGTTGGTAATTCTTTGGAGTAGGAGCCAGGAGTCCTTCATCTTCTGTCTAGTTTTAATCAACATTTTCCCCCTTCTGTTTCAGAAGAAGCCATTGAAGATGTTGAAGGGCCCAGCGAAGCAGCCGCTGACCCAGAGGAGGTGGCCAAAGGCCCGGAGAGCGGAGGCGAGAAGGACCAGAGCAAGTGGACAGGTAGTGTGTGCGGCTGCCCCGGAGCCCCTGCGCCTCCTGGGACGGGTGGGGCCGCCGGGCAGGGGGCAGATGCATCCTTAAGTCCACCCGGAGAGCTTGCCTCTGCGCGTGTTGGGGAATTCCGTCTTTCCTTTTTCGAGTGGTCACCTTCATCCTCCTCCTATTCTGTTCTATTAAGGAATATGTAAAGATTTTCTAAAATGACCCCAAACCATCTTGTTCACTGAGCATGTAGGGGCCTAGCTGCGTTGGGGGCTTCGGTGTTTGTGAGGTCACATTTCTTCAGCAGCCCCTCTCTGTTGTTGGCCCCGGATGTGGTTCTTTCTCTGGTTAGGATCTAGGCCCCTATCCCACCTGCTGCCATGCCCAGCAGCGGGATTTGCCATGTGGAACCTGATCAGGGCCACCCTAGTCTCGGAAGGAGTCTGTGGTGAAGGGTAGGCTTCGCCCTACCTTTGGGGCCTGGGTAGGATTCGTGTGCCTTTCCCCGTTCCCCAGCGTGAGCACCCAGGCCTGGAAATGCACCCAGAGGGGAGACGGGCAGTGCAGCCAGGCAAGAGGCCGTCTGACCAAGAGCAGAAGCAATGGAGAAGTCAGGAAAGGAAGTGCTATTTCTGGAAAAGCTGGCGCTGAGAAAAGGGAACTGGCCCTCTCTCATGATGACCGGATTCCTGTGCTAAGAGCAGAGACTAAGAAGAAAAGCTTAGGATTTTTGAGGAGCAAAATCATTTCTGAGAAGACTTATCAGGACAGATAAGTCTCCCAGAAACCACCACAATAATTAGAGGAAATGATATGACAAGCAGCAGAAATTATTGTGCTAAGCCTTACGGCCCTCCATTATTAATATTGTAATATACAGGGTGTGCGTGTTTTTTTTGAGAAAATATTTACCTTCTGGAGTCTGTATTGGTTGGGCCTTTGTTACTTTTCCAGGCAAGACGGTTCTTAAATCATCTTCAGTGTTGGCCTCCACTCTTTAAACAAGATACAGAATCTTGGAGGGAGGCCAGAGGACAGCAATGAAAATGACTGAAGGCTGAGAAATACGGCCCCTGGGAAGAGGCTGGAGAAATCAGGGCTGTTCCGCCTGGAAGAGAGAAACTCGGAGAGGTAGAGAGCAGCTCCCAAAGACGGGAGGAGTGCTGAGAGCATGGGCGGAGCACGAGGCGGACGTTACGTCCACGCTGCTTGCTGTCTCCTTGGCACTGGGCTCTGGGTGTCCAGGGCCTGAGCCTGAGATAGCGCGGGGGGCCAAGCATCAGCGCCTTGGGGAGGTTTGTAAGGACCAGGGAGTGGGGCCTGGACGTCTGTGCTCAGAGGCCCTGAGTGTCGGGGAAGGGATGTCCTGTGTGGCTTCTCATGGACCAAGACCCCAGTTTTTGCTGTACTATGAAGGCGTGATCTAGACAGACTTTGCATACAGATAGCAGTTAAACAAATCTGCCCAGGGAAGAGGATTTCACAGTCTCAGTTTGAAGACTGAGTAACCTTTCAAGCTGACTGTCCTTTGTTTTTATGGTTTGGGTGCCTTGTTTCAGATCCTGGCTCTGCCACTTACTAGCTCTGTGACTTTGCTCGAGGTACCTTACCTTTTCCAGGCCTCAGTTTCCTTATATGGGATGGTGACTAAAAACTGTACCCATTTCCACAGGGTAGCTATGCAGATTACTTGAATATGGGAGTGTCAGAGCAGTGCCTCACATATAGTAAGCTCTATAATAGGAAGGGTTTTGGTGTTGTTTTTAATAGTCTAATTAAATAAGATTGGGAGAACTAGTCATCTCCCATAGGAACGTGAAAGGCACAGGCAGCGTGTGGCCTCTGGGGATGTTGAGAAGCTGGGAGGGAACAGTAACTAAGGATGTAGTGAGATCATGCAAATGATCTTTGGTGCACAGTTTCCTGCATTCCGTATGTTAAGGACACTAAGAAAACAACAGGAAGTAACTGCCATTTATAAAGCACCTACTGTGCGCCAAACCTTTTGCAGAGTACTTTGTATATGTCTCTCGAATCCAGGGGTGGGGAACCTTTTTTTCTGCCAAGGGCCATTTGGATATTTATAACATCATTCAAAGGCCTTACAAAATTATAAACTTAAAAATTAGCCTGCTGTAATTGATCAAACATTTGATTAACTCATCCTTAATGCCTTGGCAGGGCCAGACCAAAAAATTCCACAGGCCTTATACGACCCACTGGCTGGACAGTCCCCACCCCTGCTTACACCAGTTCAGGGTGAGCGTGATTGAGGGCAGTTCATTTGAATCACTTTCGTTCATTCATTCATTCATACAACAGGTCACACTTGATCTCCAAAAGATGGAGACAATCCAGGCAAACAGAGAATGAATGAGTAACTCGGAGGTGCACCTTGCCAGTTGCACAGCAGTAAAGAGAGAAGGGAAAATTTTGTCCCAACTCCCACAAATGATCCTCTTTTGACCTGAAGCATGATTTTGTCTCTATTGTCTGAGTGTGTAATGACAGGCTTTACTAAAGGACTTGGTTGATTTGATCTTGGAATCGATGTGGGGGCCAGCTACCTCTCCTGAGCTTTCTTTGGGATCTTCAGTATTTTATGAAAAATGTCTGCGTTGTTTTTTTTGTTTTGTTTTTTTTCCCCCCCGTTTACTCCCTAAATTGAGCTGTTCCTATCTGATTAACTGTGATGGGGAGTGCTTCCTCCTGGCAGATAAGTAAATAGTGATTTCACAATTTGTTCTGTTGATTAGTGGCTGCTCATGATGCAGATTAATAACATTTCAAACGGGCCTGGCTAATTGGCATTTTCTCAGCTATTGATTATGTAGTTTGGGGGGTTTGTGCAGGAATAGATAATCTTTATTAAAATTTTTTAGTTGGCTATTTCTGCATTGGAATGGGACTCCTCGTTTCCTTCTTGGTGTCTCTCAGTAACCCTCTCTGGCTCCTTTTATATAGCAGAGACACCCACTTTTTCCTTGGGTGGCAGAAAGACAGCAAGGCAGTGGTTTGAATCTTGGCAGCGTCAGTCCCCACGGGCAGTGGCTGGGACTCTCCCCACATGCTGGACACTGGGTAGAGTTCCCCTGATCCACCTTCTGTGAGGTTAGAGGCCTCGCCTCCAGGACTGTCACTCTCCAGGGGCATTTCGGGACCGCCCACTGCCATGAGAACTCTCACTGAGACCAGTGCTGCCCATGAAACTTTCTGTGCTGGACAGTACAGTAGCCACTAGTACGTAGAAGGTGGCTGGTGCCCATGAGAAACAGAATTTTAAAATTTTATTTAAGTTTAATGAAAACAGCCGTGTGTGGCTGGTGGCGAGTCCAGCTCTAGATGACAACCCCGAAGAGTGCAGGCAGGTGTAACGTCCCGGTTATGAAGGCTACATTAGCTTTACCCCTGCCAGGCACCGTTGGAGTGTTCACTCCTGTCATTCCCCGCAGGCCTGCCCTGAGGGCTCACAAGCACACAGATGCTGTCCCCACAGCCCTTGGTTGGCTGGGGGGGGGGGGGGGGCAGGGGGCTGCTGGTGCTGCGTCAGTTGCAACTTTATCTGTTTTACCAATTTGCCACCCTTTTCTGCATGTGCCATGATGTGTAACAGAGTTGGGAAGCATTACTTTATATAGATTCTATGTGAATATATTATGTCTCTGATTCTTACTCCCCTCTCCGTGATACAGATACTGTAAGTAACCAGCCCCCTCTTCCCATCATTTTGCAAATGAGTAAACTGAGTCCTGGGATCACGCAAGTGGCCCAAGGGCACGTGGGCAGGCCCAGATCTGCACTCGGGCTCTGCCACGTACTCTACCTTGGGTGTGGCCCACTCTCTCCCCTGGGTGCGCGCCACCTTTGAGAACAGCGCAGGCTGATCTCTGGTCTGGGGCCTGCTTCCTCCGAAGCATGAGCAGCAGCTCTCTCCTCGGTTGTACGGAGGCAGCAGGGACCCCACCGCCCCTGCGCATTCCAGACGAGTGAGCCTCCGGTAACTCAGAGCTGTGCTCCTGCGGAGAGCACACAGGCCAAAGGGCAGAACTCCCTAGATTTGGAGTCGTGAAGCGAATGACCTTAGTCAAGGGCCTTGGCCTCCTGGAGCCTTGGGTGTCTCAGCTGTAAAATGTGGACGAGAAGCACCCACCAGCCCCGGCCTGGCTCCCACGGTGGCGCGTGCTGGCACGTGTGCACAACCTTGTGAACGCTTCAGGGTCAGGTCTCCTCGGGGCCTGTGGGCCGGCAGAGGGTGGACGCAGGAGGTCCCGTGAAACACAGCCTCTCCCCTAATGCACAGTCGCTTCCACCGTCGCACTCTGTGGTTTTGTTTTGAAATGTGAGAATGGCCCCTTGTTCTCTGTAGCAGTGTGGATTTGAAAGTGTGTCTTCTAGATTGAAGAGCCCCCAGTGTCAGCCACTGAACAATAATTAATTCAGTGACTGCTCAGTCAATCATTAATTGCTATAAATTAAGTGATATACAATTAATGTGATGCTTTATCACCAATAATTAGGGGAAAAATTGAACTCTTGGCAAAGAATCACAGCAAGATGGTTATTTAAATCCTGAGCCGCTATGGTTTCCGGCAACGGAGCACTAAGCCGGGTCTAGTTAAACTAATTTGAGACAAGACGAGGGGGACTATTGGCGCTTTAAAAACAAACAAAATGGGGGGAACAGTCCAACTTACACTAGCACCCTGAAAATGCTTCAGGAACCTCTAACGGATGCCCATGCTTATATTTTTGTAGCATTTTGAGTGAGGATTGTGGTTGGAGTGCTGTTTTTCTAGAATGCCTCCAAGGGTTTTTTAAGCTCAGGATGCTCACCTAACACAGAGCAATTAGTGCAGTGGAGCGTCCCTGATTGGAATCTGTGGAAGGTTGCTATTAATGGAGGTATTAATGGGCTGGCAAGGTCTGGGCGACTGTTGGAGAGAAGTGTGTTTATGGAAGATGGTGCTGGCAGGCACGATTTCAATCGGATTTGACATGTTTAACATAAATGTATAGTG